AAAAAAAAAAAAAAAGGAGGGGGACAGCTGCTGAAACTACTAGGTACAAACAAATACCTCATGGGATTTGTTTTCTTAGTTTCAAGGGTTAGAGTCATATTTTTGTGGGACATCTAGTCAACTGTTCTAATAGTGATTTTAGGGTTTCTGCTCTATCTTCTCAAGGAGCTTTGGCAGTGTACTGGTTAACACATTCAGCTGCTAACCATAATGTCAGTGGTTTGAACCCACCAGCCACTCCATGGGAGAAAGATGAGACAATCTTCTTTCATAAAGATTTACAGCCTTGGAAACCCAATGGGACACTTCTACTCTGTCCTATATAGTTGCTATGAGTTACAATCAACTCATTGGCAGCAGTTTTTTGGTTGTACTTCCTAGTTCACTGAATAGAACCTGAAGTCAAAAACTTGGGAGTGGTCATCCAAACTACCATGAAACCAAAAGACCTAGATGGTACCTAGCTACCACTGCCAATCACATGCAAAGCTAAAAGCCATTCTTTTATCAGGAGATCCTGGATAGAATGGGAGAACAATGTGGAGCTAAACTCAAAATCATAAAAAAGACTAGGTTTACTAGTCTGATAGAGCCTGGTGAAACCCCAGATACTATGGTCCCTAGCTACCTTTCAGGTCTAGAATTGAACTCACTCCTGTGGCTTCTAGGCAAACGACAGACAGGCATACAGGGTGAACATTTATATCAAGAAAATACATTCCTTAGAACAATCAATCATGGGAGAACAAAAGGGTAGTATTTATACAATTTGTACAGGGAGGTATCTTGGGGCAGGAATGCATAGAAAGGAAGAACACAGAGAAGAGGTAACTACAGGAAGGAAGTGGAAAGAGAAGTGTCACATTGTGGGGTATTACAGTCAACATCATGAAACAAAACATGTATGAACTGCTGAATGGAAAATGAATTTACCCTGTAAACTTTCATCCAAATCACAATAAAACTTAAAAAAAGCAAAAAAAAATTATAGAAATAAAGAATAGGATTGTCAAGTAATAAATATAATATGAAGAAGGAAAATTAAAAAAATGGTCTCTATTTGCCTGGAGCAGCAGAGGAAGGAGACCCAGGAATTGAAAAATTGGACCACAGGTCTAGTTGCCTCCATGAACTACTGCCTCCTTTGCCATGAAGAACTGGATGGTTGCCCAGCTACCATTACTGAATACTGTGATCAAAGATTCAAAAGATAGATCCTACAAAAAAAAAAAAAAAAAGATGGATCCTATTCAAAATGGGGGGATTATAAGGAATTCCAAATTCTTATGGAATCTAGAATTCGTAGACTCACTGAGACTAGACTAACCTCCAAATCTATTGCCCTGAGATAATCTCTAAACTTAAATCATAATGATTTCCTGAAGTCATTTAAAGCCAAACAACATCTTACCCCTTAAAGAATTATATATACGAGATCTAATTGACAACAGTAACTCTAAAGCATAGGTAAAAGTTTAGAAGGCTATGAGTCTAAATGAATAGTGATAAAATAATTTGGTAAGGAATAGTGAGACTGATGACACAACATGCAGGTCAGTTGAGTTACACATGTAGAAACTGTTAAATGGATCCATATTTCACTGTGTATAGTTCCACCAAAAAAAAAAGCTAGCTATGGAAATAGTCTCGCCTTTGCTTCTTGTATCCTACCACAGTTACAGGCAAGATAGGGGAGCGGGGAAGTGGGCAATTGTAGTACACATGTGAAAGAACAAAGGTCTTAATGTGAAGAAATGGAGAAAGAAAAAAGTTCCAAAACCTACAGAGCAGATGTTGAAAACTGGTGAGGTCTTAATCTCAGAAGTGCTTTCTTGGGACCATCTGTGTTTATGCACATGTGTACTTGTTTTTTAATTGAATTTAAAAGTCTCAGCAGGGCTTATGTTGATGAAATACTATGAACTCACCACCAGCCTGACCGACAAAAGACCTAAAACACATGAATATGTAATGCCAGCAACAGAGCTGGAGGTATTGGATGGATGGGTAGGAGTTGTCAAAAACTGTTGTTGTTATTGTTGTTATTTGCCATTGTGTCAGCCCCGACTCATAGCGACCCCTCCTTGGGTTTCCGAGGCAGTATCACTAAGGAAGTAGGATTGCCCAACCTTCCTTCTGAGGAGTGGCTGGTGGGTTTGAACCGCCAGCCTTCTGGTTAGCAGTCAAGTGCCTTAGGCACTATGCTACCAGAGCTCCTAAAGGCATTGATAAATCTGTTTCTGTTCATATAAATTTTTATTTTAAATTTGTCTTTTACATACATGATCTTAGTGCCCAATATTTACTGAGCTTACAATGATACAAAAACTTTAAAGATTAACCTTCTTTACATATAAATATTTTAAATGTTAAACATTACACATGGTTTTAAAAGCTTAATATCTAAATCAATTCTGCCTTACTTCATCTCTCTAAAAATCCTAACCCCTCCACCAAATGAAAGAGTGGAGGTAAAAGAAAAAAATATGAAAAAAAATGGTGCCAAAAATGAATTTATGAATCATTTGTGACAATGAGATAATACTTCATCCCCACAAGAATATTATCAGAAAAATGGAAAATAACAAGTGCTAACCAGAAAGTGGTTCAAACCCATCAGCCACTCCGCAGAAAAGATGAGGCAATCTACATCCATAAAGATTTACCTCCTCAGAAACCTAATGAGGATGAGTCACTATGAGTGGGAATCGCTCCACGGCAGTGGGTTTGAGTGAGGAGATGGAGAAAGTAAAACCCTCATGCATTGCTGGTACAAATATAAAATGGTTCAGCCACAAAAGAAAACAGTTTGGTGGTTCTTCAAAAAGTTAAACACAGAACTCCACTCCTAGGTACATATACCCAAGAACTGGAAAGCACAGACTTGAAGAGATACATATACACCAATGGTCACTGCAGTATTATTCACAATACAAAAAGGTGGAAACAACCCAGTGTCCATCAACATATGAATGGATAAAAAAAAATGTGGTATATCCATACAATGGAATTTTATTCCATAATAAAGGGAAAAAGTTCTAATGCATGCGACAACATAGATGAACCTTGAAAACTTTATGACAAGTAAAATAAGTGACACACAAAGGAACAAACATTTTATGATCCCATTCATATGAAATATCCGTAACAGAAAAATGCCTATCAGTAGGTACAGAGGCTGGAAAAAGGGACGAATGGGAAGTTACTGCTTAAAGAGTATTCAGCTTCTGTTTGGAATGATGTAAAACCTTTAGAAATGATGATGGTTGAACAGCATACTGAATATAATTAGTCACTGAACTGAATGTATGGTTAAAATTGCAAAGTTTTTTATTGTGCTTTATCAACAATAAAATTTACCAAAAAACGAATCAGTTACAGTTTAATGATCATATTAAATTTAGAAAAAAAAAATCATTCACATACTTCATTTTGAAATAAAAAGTAAAATAAGTCAGTCTTTTAGCATAAATATTTTGTTTCTTCAGAAAAGCAAGCAAAACACCTCCTATGAACTAATACTAGAAGAGATGAAATTACTAGATCTCAAAACATTATTATAGGTCTAAGTTAAGTCAATACTTACAGATATATAATGTCTGAATACATAGTTGATTTTGCCAGCATTGCTTTTGGATATGAGTTGTTGGTGGAAAACAGAAAATTCTTTATGGCCAATCTCAGAGTAGAAAATTACCACTGGACTTTCCAGATTAGATGAGGGGTATCTGTGATCTCCTTTGAATAATAATGGTTTGGGTCTGAAAATAAATATTAAAACTTTAAAATTTTTAATTTTAAATTTTTACACTTTAAAAACTGTACAAAATGTAAACTACAGCTATGATACTTTAAGTATAAAAATTATGAGCATCTTAATTTAATACTTACAGTCTTAAATAGTTTTCAGTTAGAATAACTGTCAAGTGACTTATTTAATAATGATTAAAAATAATGAAAGTCTATTACATAAAAGCTAAATATAAAATGAGGACTTTGATTAAAAATCATTACCAATTACTAGAGAGGGAAAACAAAAAGAATACCTGTTCAAATTTCATAGTACTAAACCTTAGAATAATCTTTTCTCATATGAGTAGAATACACTTATCCTTCTATCAGAAAAGAACCTAAGTACAAATAACGTATAAACCATTGGATAATTTTGTTGTTGTTGTTACATGCCGTCGAGTCAGACCCGACTCATAGTGACCCTCCTTGGGTTTCCAAGGCAGTATAACTATGGAAATAGATTGCCCAACCTTCCTTCCAAGGAGTGGCTGGTGGGTTTGAACCGCCAGCCTTCTGGTTAGCAGTCAAGTGCCTTAGGCACTACGCTACCAGAGCTCCCTGGATAACTTTAAGCCTACCAAAAAAAAAAAAAAAAAACAAACATAAACTCACAGCCATCAAGTCGATTCCGACTCAGAGAGACCTCCAGTAGGTTTGCAAGGTAGCAAATTTTTATGGAAGCAGATGGCTCCTTCCGTGGAGTGGCTGGTGAGTTTGAACCACCAACCTTCTGGTTAGCAGTCAAATGCTTTAGGCATTATGACACATACTACCTCCAATTACAGTAAGGCTTCCTCCTTTACCATTTCAACTATATTTACTATTACAGTCTTCCTGCTAATGATTTTTAAATTTAAATTTTCCTCATAAATTTTAAAACTTCTCAAAAAAAATAAATAAATAACGTTTCTAAGGATGGCGTTTCTAAGGATGGCATCAAGATTATGGAAGTTAATGCATCGACTTTATGATCTACCAGTACTTCTTCCAACGAACTGTCCACTAGAAAGTAAAGACACATGAATACGAACATTCACTAAAGCCTTATTGTAAGAACAAAAGAAAAGAAAGGAGCCTGAAAAATCACCAGTCAGGAATAAATTATGGGACAGTCTTACGATAACTTATCATGCATGGGTTAAATATAAGATGCTTCTATGCCTGCAAACAGAGTACATATGCCTTTGGATGGTCTAGGCTCAGCTAGTTAAAAATAAATCACACAGCATTTGTGATTAAGACGGCTTTAAATAACAATGAGGACTCTACCCAGACAAAAAGTTCATTAACTGTTTTCAAAGCTGAAGAGTTAAACAAAAAAATGAACACATATGTAACTAAATGTAAAGATGTCTCCTGTTGAAAAAAACCTAACTACCTGTATAAATCTGTAACCACAGAAAAAATCTAAAAGGGTACATGACAGTTAAAAACAGTAGTTACCACTCTCAGAAAAGAAGATACTATCACTCTTTTCTTTATAACCATCTGTATTTATGCTGCAACAAATTAAACAAACCATTTTTCAAAAGAATGAAACAATTTTGTTTACCAAAAGGAGCACTGCTTTACCACATAGTCCTTTCAGAACATCCACATCATTGGCCCTGAGCCAGCTGGAATGGGCATCATAAACCTGGTTGTCAACGACAAGGATGTCCTATGGCATCCAGCGGACATAATTCAAGTGCAAAGAATCCTCTCTTGGGCAGACAGCCTTGCTAAAGAACTGAACCACAACCAAACCCACTGCAATCAAGCACATTTTAAATCATGGTAATCCTAAAATGCCATGAGCATTTCTAACATAGCAGAACAACAACACATAGAAATAACTGTTATCCTATCCATAGTGTTATCAGAGGAGGTATAATGCTACCCTAGCCAAATATCAAAATAGGTACTTATTATATCTGTCCACAGGAAACCTACCTTTAAGCACAAAAGTCAGCCTATTAATTACCAATCTAATATTCAAATTAAGTTATCTTTTAAGTAGTCTTCATTGTCTGAAATTGATTAATATCCTAAGAGGTCATTATCATCAATAACATTAATTTAAGGCAGTGGCTTTAATACATGGTATATTGCTTTCCTTACTAAGATGATGACAAATCCTATGTAATATAATATAATAGATACTAAGTAGCATTAAGTACTATTAAGTATTCCTATTACCTCCATTTTAAAATAAAGAAAGATTAAGTAATTTGCCCAAGTTCACGAAACTATTTTAAGTGAGGAAGGTGGGATTCAAATCAGTCAATCTGATTCCAGAATCCACACTCTAACTAACATACTTATAGACTATATAACACATAAGTAAATCCAGAAGGTGCCTTTATATAGACAAATGCACAATAAGATACATGATGCTTATTTAAAGAAACATACAAATCTACCTTTCAGATGCTGTGCGTAGAAGAGTCTCAAGATTATCAAAATCACAAGTCTTCTCTCCATGAACTGAAAAAAACGAATTGCAGCCTTCTGGTGGAGGTTCATCGGCTGCTATCTATCATGGGAGACACAATGCATGTGTTTTATAATCCTAACTGAAGATAAGATAAAACATATATATTCCAAAAGGCAATTAAACCATAACAAAGTAACATCAACAGAAGCAAGTATTACCTTTCCAGAATACTCCTTAGGTGCTATGAATGTAAACGCTTTATATGTCAGTGCTTTACTGGCATTATTCCATTTGTTTCCTGCCAATAACCTCCCAATAAATTAAGTGTGATTATGATCCCCAAAACAGAACTTTAAAATTCTATTTCAGAACATACCCAAAGAACACATAATGTGACTTACAGAAAACTGAGTTTGCAGATGTCAATTTTAAGTGCTGAGATTTACTGTCCAAATTAAATACAATAACCAAATCAATGCACACTCTCTCACTGGAGTAAAAAGAATTACACTGAATCAAAAATAAATGAACAAATAAATGAGAGAATAAAAGGTATAACCAGAAAAATTATGTAAGTAGCTCACTAAGATTTTCAAGAGTAAAGATGAATAAGAGGTGAATTTACATTTACAGGTAAATGTATTAACACCAAGGCATAATGAGATATACCAATCTGAACTTAAATAGGGGCACATTAAGAGTGTAAGTATAGAAGAGTTCCAATAAGATGGTGGAATAGGCAGACAAACTACACAGACCCTCTTCACCAAAGAAAAGAGAAAACAATTAACATAGAGAAGATAATTCTAGAGATCTGAGCTTTGAAAGGAAGGATACAGTAGTAGACTAAATTCCAACTAGTAGACCTGCATGAAAACACCAAAAAAGGAGACATATGGAGATACAGACTCTCAGCAATCCTCACAGCACAGCCAGCTTGGAAATTGTCAAGAGGTGTTAGGACCTAAGAATTAACCTAATAATTGGTCCTCCTAGCCATGGAGGACAGCATTGGTCCAGATGTTTTTGTTTTTTTTTTTTTCCTTCCCCTTTTTCCATTCATATTTCATTTGGGTTTTTAAAGTATTTCTTTAAATATTTTCTCTCCTTCATTGTCTTACTTAATTTCGATTTACTTTTTTCTGTTTTTTGTAGTTGTTGCCCTGTGTTTATGTGGTGTGTTTGTTTTATTCTCTTGCTTTTACTTTTTTGATGTCTTTTCAATTGTTGTTTCTGTGAGTGGGGGCAGCAACCTTCTCCATATGAAAGAACCACACCCACACCTCCTATTGCTCCATTTGCTGAATGAGACTCACCACTGCCTTCTAAAGCCACTGGCCAACAATACAGGACCAGCAATAAGAGCCTGACTCAAGCTGAACTGCTCTTGACAAACACTGAAAGCAGATATGTTCCTCCCCCCGCCAAAAATAAAAAACTGCCACTGAGTCGATTCGACTCACAGTAAACCCTCCCTGAGTTTCCAAGGTGGTATCTCTACAGAGGTAGATTGCCCAATAATCCTTCCGAGGAGTGGTTGGTGGGTTTGAATCGCCAGCCTTCTGGATAGCAGTCAAATGCTTTAGCCACTACATCACCAAAGATCTGTTCAGCCATACTCATTCTCTATCACATCCACCAGGAAATAGGTGGTTAGTGAATAAGTGATGCCAGCTACCGAATAGAGGTGCATAGTACCCTGCTTACCCAGATACACGTAGAAAAAAACAAAGATGATGAAAATCTTAGACAAATCACTGTAAAATAAAATCACGTTAAATATACATACAACACACAATGTCTCAGAGACAAGAGGCAATCACAGTACACACAAAGAAGCAAAATAAAGCTGGAGGAACAAGGGAGCAGGAAACAGACCCAGAACACATCCCGGAGGAAGAAGGAACATTGGAACTCCTTGATAAGGAATTCAAAATAATTGTATGTAGGTATCTTCAACAGACTTGAGAAAAAGACCAAGGAAAACACAGACAAAATGCTAAAATAATTTTAGAAGAAAATACAAAACCAAACAGAAAAATTAGAAATGATACAAAATCTACAGATAGAAATCCACAAGATTAATACTAACTTTTCAGAAAGAGATAACAAATTGAAAGGGCAAAGGAGTAGGATTGAATCAACAGAACATAGTATTCATGAGATTGAAGACAAACGCCTGAATACTTCTTTAGAAAGGGAAAAAAGATCACAACAAAATGAAGAATGGTATAATGTGGATACCATCAAAAGGAAAAACTTATATATAATCAGAATTCCAGAAGAGGAAGAGACAAATAAAATCACAAAAAAATCGTCCAAGATTTGTTGGAAGAGAACTTCCCCGATATGATGAGAGATGCGAATATACCCATTGAAGAAGTCCAACAAACCCCAAACAGGATAGACTCAAAAAGGAAATCCCCAAGACATATCATCATCAAACACACCAAAACCAAAAACAAAGAAAGAATCCTGAAGGCAGCACGGGAAAAACGAAAAGTTACTTACAAAGGACAGCCAATAAGACTAATCTCTGATTTCTCTGCAAAAACCACGCAGGCAAGAAGACAATGGGATGGAACATACAAAACCTTGAAAGAGAAAAATTTCTAACGAAGAATTATATACCCAGAAAATCCGTCACTCAAATATAAAGGTGAAATGAGATTTCCAGATAAGCAGAAATTAAGGGAACTTGTTAAAACTAGATCAACCTTACAAGAGATACTAAAGGTAGACTTTTGAAAAGAGAAACAAAAACAACAAACACCAACCAACCATTAATACACATGATGACATAACCCAGAAACCAACACAGTTATGGAAGTATCCCAAGTAAAATAACCATACAAGATTGTAAACACGGAACCAGAGATATCAATCATCAAATGAGGACAGCTACAAACAAAAAAAGAGGGAAAAAAAAAAAAAGTGTAGTTACAAAACTTCTAAATGGTGAGGAAGTCAAGAGTTGCAAGATAGGATTCATGTTTCTAAACTCGGGGAGAAAATTATAAATCACAGGGTAACCTCAAGAAAAATGATAAACCTCTACATCACAATAAAAAAGATGACAAGCACAAATACTTAGCAAATACTAAAACAGCAGCAATAAAAGAAAGGATAACGTGATTCATAAACACCATCAGCTCAGCACAGAAAAGCATATGGAACAAAGAAACCAGGAACACCACGAAAACACACATAACGAAATGACAGCAACAAGTTCATACTTGTCAATAATTACAATGGAGAGAAACTGAAACCATTCCCCTTGTGAACAGGAACCAGAAAAGATGCCCTCTGTCACCACTTCTATTAAACATTGTATTGGAAGTCCTAGCCATGGCAATAAGCAAGAAAGGGAAATCAAAGGCATCCAAATTGGTAAGAAAGAAGTCAAACTACACTTATTTGTTGATATAATCCTAAACCTAGAAAATCCAAGAGACTCAGTCAAAAAACTACTGAAACTAACTCAGAGATTTAGCATCATGGAAGGATAAAAGATCAAAACCCAAAAATGAGCTGATTCCTCTACACCAGCACAGAGATTGCTGAAAAAAGAAATAAGGAAATCGATACCATTTATAATAGCTACCAAAAAAATAAAATACTTGGGAATAAACCTTACCAGGCACACAAAACACCTCTACAAAGAAAACTATACAAATACTATGTCAAGAAACCATAAGACATCCACATAAATGGAAGAACATACCATGCTCGTGGACAGAAAGATTGAACACTGTGAAAATGTCAATTCTACCCAAAGCAATCTATATATTCAATCCAATCCCAATCCAGATCCCATCCACATTTTTTAAGGTATGGAAAAACAATCACTAACTTTATATGGAAAGGAAAGACATCTCAGAGAAGCAAAGCACTATTGAGGAAGAACAAAGTAGGAAGTCTCACACTCCCAGATCTCAAAACCTACTATACAGCCACAGTAGTGAAAACTGCCTGGTATTGATACAATAACAAATATACAGACAAATGGAATACACTTGAGAACCCACAAATAGATCCACTGACTTATAGTCCACTGATCTTTGAAAAAGGGCTGAAATTCATTAAATGGGGAAGACAATGTTTGTTTAATAAATGATGCTGGCAAAACTAGAGATCCATACTCAGAAAAATAAAACAAGAACTGTACCTCACACCACATACAAAAACGAACTCCAGATGGATCACAGACTTAAATGTGAAACCTAAAACTATACAGTTTTATAAAGGAAAATCTAGGGGCAAATATAGGGGCCCTAATATATGGCTCTGGTAGCATAGTGCCTAAGGCACTTGACTGCTAACCAGAAGGCTGGCGGTTCAAACCCACCAGCCACTCCTCAGAAGGAAGGTTGGGCAATCCTACTTCCGTAGTGATACTGCCTTGGAAACCCAAGGAGGGGTCGCTATGAGTCGGGGCCGACTCGACGGCAAATAACAACAACAACAACAACAATATATGGCATAAATAGACTATCAAGCACAACCCAAAATGCACAAACAGCAGAAGAGAAACTACATGAATGCGACCTTCTAAAAATTAAATTTTTATGTGCTTCCAAAGACTTCTCCAAAAGAGTCAAAAGAGAACCTACAGATTGGGAAAAAATATTTGGTAATGACATATCTGACAAGGGACATATCTCTAGAATTTAGAGAATACTCCAACACCTCAATAACAAAAAGACAAACCATCCAATTAAAAAATGGGCAGAAGACATGAATAGACACTTCACCAACGAGGATATGCAACCAGCCAACAAACAGATGAAGAAATGCTCGCAATCACTAGCTATTAAGAGAGATGCAAATCAAAACAATAAGATACCATCTCACCTCAGCACTTACAGCAAAGTTCAACAAGACAGAAAATAACAAATGCTGGCAAGGATGTGGAGAGATTGGGACTCTCATACACTGCTGGTGGGACTGTAAAATGGTACAACCACTGTGGAAAGCAGTATGGTGATTCCTTAAAATGTTGGAATTAGAAATACCATTTGACCCAGCCATTCCATTACTAGCTATATATCCTAAAGAAGGGAGAACCAGGACAAGAACAGATATATGCACACACATGT